CATCATGAGATTCTTTCCAAGCTTGATATGATATCACCCTCAAGCTTGAGGGGGGTGTTAACCAGTGTGTGACTAAAGCCCAATCCAACAAAGGAAAGCAGCTGCCCCATTAGTGTTTGCAGAGGAGAACCGGCCCAGTGCAGTTATTCATTTACTTGTATTGTATTTTTTTACTTGTATTTTTCTCCTTCGTATACTTGTAAATATAAAAGGACATTATGTGGGAAATAAATCAGTTTTTGGGTCGATTAATATTTGGACCAGCTCATATCTTTCTCTCGAACTTTCTGTGCCTCTCTTCTCTCTTCTGTCAATGTTAGGGTTTCCTTTTTCATTTGTTCTGCCATAGCTGGTCCCTGTACCAAATTGACAACACTTGCTTGAACCTTTTTTTTATTTTAAAAAGTAACACTTTCTTGAACAATAGAGACCCCCTTTTATAATCTCAAACGAACTTTCACCTAGAACAAAATTCACAAGTTTTAAAATCCAGGAACCTATCCAATCAAATCGAGACGTGAAAAAGATAACCTTGGCAATTCCTATCACATTGATATGTTTTGCACTAGAATTGATGTTCACTAGAAAACAAAACAAAATAAAGCAAAAATGTCTTAGGCGAACTGCAAAGCAACATCACCACTAAAATTATTGATGCCACATTGGCCAAACAAAACCAAACACACAAGACATGGTGCTTACTTTTTCCTTCTTTAGTAACTCTACTATCTAAAGAAATGCATGATAAGGTGTTCTATATGAGATCATTGTAAGAAAAATGAGTAGATAATATTGACTAAGAACAAGGAGGAAAGAAGAACAACTTATCAAAAATACTGTATCAACTTATCAAATCGATTTCGGGTCGATTGGGTGCAAATCGTTAAGACCGGTCACTTTCCAAGGTTCTACAGCACCTCGAAACATGTGCACTCTTGGCTGGAAGTTTAGAATTTACACAAAACAGTTGCCCAGAAAGAAGAGAAGATGAAGGTATTTTCTGTGTTGGATAATTCACAAAGAAGATTACCTTTTTATAGGCAAAGTTGTTGGACAGTTACAGAGCTGTTACAGAAATTAAAAATGTTGTAGGAAGAAAGTAATGATTAGCAAGATGAATTCTTGGTTAAGAATTGAGTTAGTTATGATGGCTAATCCACAACCTATTTATAGGTAATTAGGGAGATTGCATGTATGACAAGTGTGGAGACCCTTTTAACACTTGTCCAAATATATTAGTCCACTTGGCTTAAATATTAACAAGTGTACCTAGTTTTCCATGCATGAAAATACATGGTAGATTTGCATAGCCACTTGTCAAAGCCCTTCAACACTTGGATTTAAGGTTTCATGCAAGAAGCCACTTGAAAATTGATAGGACACTTGTAAAATAAAAAGACTCATGGCTATTGGTGGTAAATAGATTTTCAAAAAGAAATCTTTGACTTTGCATTATAAATAATACCAACAATCCCCCACTAATGCAAAGACAAAAATACAACAATTCTGGGCAAAAGAAGGAGCATGTACTTAAGTGTCAATATCTTTCGATTTGAATTGACACATAGTGAAATGAGGCAACAACTAACATCCACAAAGTGAAGTACTTTTGAACTGAATGGACATTAGTTGAGAACCCCACAACACATACTATATCCTTAATTTTATGCAAACTCTGTGATACTAACAAAGTGCTTTTATGGTCATGCACATACCTTGGGTCTCATGAGTGCTATAGAAAGACATCCCAAGTCTTTCATAAAAGGCGACTGCACCTTTACACTCACATAGGCGATTCCATCAAGTCTATCTACACATAGACTATCTTAAGGTTATGGAATCATTAAGAGTAAAATAAGCTCAACCTTATAAAGCACTACCACACGTCATAGGGATAGGAAATGTAGTGCATATTGAGGTCTCATATGGCTTTGTTTGACCACAAACGGGTATCCACCATACTTCCTCAATCCATGGGCAAAGCCCCATCGCCCTCGACGTTTCAAGGATAACTTTCCTTGCCAAACCCTTGGTTAAAAGATCCGCCAAATATCTTTCGGATTTTACATATTCCAAGGAAATAACACCATGTTTCAACAACTGTTTTACCGCACCATGCCTAATGCGGATATGTCTTATTTTTCCATTGTACACACTATTTTTGGAAATTCCAATTGCCGTCTGTGAGTCACAATGTAGAGAAACTGGTGAAGCATGTCTTCCCCATAAAGGCACGTCTGCCAATAAGTTTCTCAACCACTCGGCTTCTTGCCCTGCCAACTCAAGAGTAATGAATTCAGACTCCATAGTAGATCGTGCTATATAAGTCTGTTTTGAAGACTTCCATCAAATATCACATGCACCCAAAGTAAACACATAACCATTAGTGGAGCTAACTTCATCATTGTCAGTAACCCAGTTTGCATCACAAAATCCTTCTAAAATAGCAAGAAATTTATTAAAATGCAAACACCAATCCATAGTACCTCTTGATAATAGGCGATAAGTATGTAGTTTAGCTACTATTTGCACTCTAACTTAGCTGCACTTTATTGATATTTGAATGTTAAATGATAACAAATTGCTCTAATTAAGAACTTTATGCTTTGCAGGAGCAATTCCGGGTTTTGAGGATGTTAAAGAGCATTTTGGAGCTAATATGAAGCATTGAAGGCCAATTATAGGTTAGCGCGCTTAAAAAGAAGAAAGAAAAATTCTACAGAAAATCCTCCAAGTGCGCGGCCGCGCATGCCAGGCAGAAACTGGCCAAAGTGTGCGGTTGATGCGCGACCGCGCACGTGCTTCCGAGAAAAATCGTCCAAGGCCAATTTTATAATTTGAGAGGTGACTAACCTTGACCTATATGAAGCCCAGCTCACCCAAAAAGAGGGTATCTCTGGTTTTTAGAAGAACTTTGGAGGCAAGAACAAAAAGAGAGCAAGACGGAGAATTCTCTTACGAGTTTTTCATCTTCATCTTCTTAATTCCATTGTTGGTTATGACTTTTTATATTGTAATCTTGCATAGTAGTATGAGTAGCTAAAACCGTCATCTAGGGTTGATGGAACTAATTGTTGGATGAAGTTTTGATTACGTTTTGATATAATTGAGCCGTTTTTACTCTATAATTGTTCAACCATGTGTTTCTTGTGATTAATTGACAGGGCCCTTGATTAATAATGTCTAGTTGTCTAGTGTTGCTTGTGAAAGAACACTTGATTAGATTGTTGTTGAACAATGCCACTTTCGAGTAAGTTAAGATATTAATTACTTGAATTTAAAAGCGGGATTAGAGATACGAAGCTTTGGTGTGATATTTATGAGTTGTACAAATTGTCAACTAGAGTAGTTCAAGAGAATGCTTCTCGTAAATTATCGTAATTGATCGAGAGATAAGTACGGTAAGCAAGAACTCATCATCTTTATAGAGCGTTACAGCGAGATTATAGCTAACGTATCAGGAATTAATCCGACAATTGGGGAAATCAATAACCCTAGATTCTTTTACCCTTGAATTCAACTTCATTCTTGCTTATTGATAGTTTTTTATTGTCATTTTTTTCTTATTTAAATAATTTCTGTTAATTATCAAATAAAATCTTGAACTCTGAAAATTGTCTGAGCTTATCATTAGCGATACTAAAAGTTGTAGCAAATAGGTTAGTTCCCTGTGGGATTCGACTCCGGTCTCTTGTACCAGATTATTGCAGCGACCGCTTAGTCCTTTTTACAAGGCATAGTTGGGTGTGATCAAATTTTGGCGTCGTTACCGGAGAACTAACGGTGTTATTTATTACAACTTGGAAGTATTGCTAGGATTTTTAGTTTAGATCAATTTTCTGTGGTGTTAAAAATATTTCCATTGAAATTCTGACGTTTGAACTCTTCTGTGACTCAGGTGCATGCCTAGAAACTCCTTGAGAACTGGTGAACTTTTTGAAGGACTCTCAGATCCTGAGAAAGCATTTAGGGCATTGATTCGGGCTAACAATAAGGGCAAATAGCTAAAACAAGATGAATAATTCGAAATTGAAATAGACGACGTCAACAACGTCAACGATAACAATAGGAATGGTCGAGTTGACCCAAACATCGAAGTGGTAGCACCTCTTGTGCCGGAAGCTGCTCTATATGATTGGGCGCAACCAACTACTGATAACCTGGCTACTGTAATTGCATTCCCTCCGATACAAGCAAAGATGTTTCATATTACCAACAACATGTTGCACTTGCTGCAAAATAAAGGGTTGTTCTCCGGGTCGTACATCGAAGACCCACAACAACATTTGAAGAACTTTCTATCAATTTTTGTCACTCAAAGACAGCCGAATATGACTCCTAAAGCAATTAGATTATTATTGTTCCCATTCTCAGTGACCGGGGAGGCTCAAACTTGGCTGAATTCGCTCCCAATAACTCCATTGCTACTTGGAAGGAACTAGTCAAGCAGTTCTTAAACAAGTTCTATCCACCCAACAAAACTGCGAGGCAAATTGATGAGATATTGCAATTCAGGCAGAAATCAACTGAAACTTTGCAGGAAACTTGGGAGAGGTTTAAGGGTATGCTAGTGAAGTGTCCACAGTATGGCATTCCAGATCAGATGCTAGGACAAAGATTCTATATGGGTTTGGCTGACGGTCTGAAGGCCAATGTAGATGCTTCAGCTGGGGGTGCATTCTTGATCAAAACATTCACAGAGTGCAAGATTCTTCTTGACAAGATGGCTCAAAATTCAGGCTGGATGACGAGAGATACAACACTCACTCCAATAGTACATTCTGTTGCTCTTGACCCAAACAATACAAATGCAGAAAACATAGCCACTCTCATGACCCAGATGAGCTTATTGACAAAGAAAATTGATGAGATGGGTACAAAATAGGTGCACATTGTTGATACGACAAATGGAGGCCTATGCACTCCCTGCAAAAATCAGTCATATGTTTGCTCGTGGAGTGAAGAGAACGATAATCAGGGGTTCAGAGAAGACATGAATTATGTCAATAATTTTGGGGGTCAGAGGCAAGGTGGACAACAATGGGGGACCTCAAAATCAGCAGTACAGACCAACCCAGGAACAATACAATACCATTCCAGGGAGAGCACGACCACAAGGCCAAGTTGTGCCTTATCAAAGACAGCAGGGCTACAATCAGCAGTACCAACAACAGTTGGCTTACCAACCGCCTCATCAACAATATGACAATAATATGATAGAAATCAAGGGCATGTTGCAACAACACATGGGGACAAATGGAAAGATGCAAGAAAAGTTAGCCGCACATGATTCGACTATTAAAGGCATTGAAACTCAATTAGGCCAGTTATCTATGGCCTTTAACAATCGCCCACAGAGAACGTTGCCTGCAGACACAAACATCAATCCAAATGAGCAGAATCCAAATCAGCTAATGGCAATGAGTCTCAGGAATGGAAAGGATTTAGACAGAGAGCACGAAGTTGTTCAATCTAGGAGAGACGTATTGCCAAGTACTCCAGTGACATTAGAGACTGACGAGTCAACGGAGCTCACAGAAGTTGTAATTGAACAGGCACACGTGGACAAAGGCAAGGAGAAGGAATTTGAACAACTCCCAGAACAGGTGGTGGAAAAGGCTCCTAATAAAGAAAAGACACCAAGAAGTGGGTAGAAGCTAACTCCTGCACCATTCCCTCAAAGGTTGGCAAAGCAAAAGAAATATAATCAGTACAGGAAATTTATGGAAATGCTTAGACAAATTCAATTGAATATTCCGTTGATGGATGCTTTGAGGGAAATGCCAGGCTATGCAAAAATGATGAAGGATCTAATGTCTCGAAAAATTGACTTCCAGGACCTGTCTACTGTAACTCTAACTCTAACTTGCAGCGAGATAGTGACAAGGCCTATGGCTCAAAAACTGTCTGATCCCGGTAGTTTCACTATCCCATGCACAATTAGAAGTTATGCTTTTGCTAAAGCATTGTGTGACTTAGGAGCCAGTATCAACTTGATGCATTTGAAAATCTACACAAAATTAGGCATTGGCAGAGCTAGACAGACCTCAATGTTGTTGCAACTGGCTGATCGCACAGTTAAAAAGCCGACATGAATTCTGGATGATGTGCTCGTCCAAGTGGGGAAGTTTGTATTTCCTGCCGACTTCGTTATTCTTGACTGTCAAGTTGACGAAGAAATACTAATAATTTTGGGGAGGCCGCTCTTAGCCACTGGGATAGCATTGATCGACTGTGAGACTGGAGAGTTAAAAATAAGGTTGAATAATGAGTAAATAATATTCAATGTTCAACAATCTATGAGGAGGCCCAGCAAATCTGCAAATTGTTCACTAATGGAGGCGGTGGATGTAATACTACAAGAGAAGGATGAAACCCTTAATGTCAGTGATCCGTTAGAAGCTTGCTTGATGAATTTGGAAGATGAGGATGGTTAAGAATTGGCAAAGTGGGCCATGGCTCTCGAAGGTCAAGGGTTCTGGAAAACTGAACCCCAGTTCGAGCCACTACACTTAGAAGAAAGGGCAACACCACCTGCGAAGCCATTAATAGAGGAGCCACCACAGTTGGACCTGAAACCGCTTCCAGCTCACCTCAGGTACGCCTTCTTAGGCCTAACTCTACTTTATATGTTATTATGTCATCCGGTTTGTTACGTGTGCAGGTAGAACAACTCCTACAGGTGTTACAAGAATGTAAGACTGTTATTGGTTGGACCATGGCAGATATAAAGGGTATCAGCCTGGCCTTTTTCATGCACAAGATTCTCTTGGAAGAAGGGCACAAACCTTCCAGAGAACATCAAAGAAGACTGAACCCAAACATGAAAGAAGTGGTGAAGAAAGAAGTGATCAAGTAGTTAGATGCGGGTATCATCTTCCCCATCTCTGACAGTAACTGGGTCAGCCCAGTTCAGTGTGTGCCAAAGAAGGGTGGAATGGCGGTCGTGCAAAATGAGAAAAATGAGTTGATCTCAACTCGTACAGTCACGGATTGGCGAATTTGCATGGATTATAGAAAACTGAACATAGCCATCCGGAAAGACCATTTCCCATTGCCATTCATTGACCAAATGTTGGATAGGTTGGCTGGGCGGTCTCACTTTTGCTTTTTGGATGTATATTCGGGGTACAATCAGATCTCAATAGCCCCTGAAGATAGAGAGAAAATATCCTTTACTTGTCCGTATGGCATCTTTGCCTTTCGGAGAATGCCGTTTGGCCTGTGCAATGCACCGGCTACATTTCAGAGGTGTATGTTAGCCGTTTTTACTAATATGGTTGAGGATATTATGGAAGTCTTTATGGATGATTTCTCAGTGGTGGGGGAATCATTCGAATACTGTCTTCACAATTTAAGAAGAGTGTTAAAAAGGTGTATGGAGACAAATTTAGTGCTGAACTGAGAGAAGTGCCATTTTATGGTACAAGAAGGTATAGTATTGGGGCATCGAGTGTCCAGTAAAGGCATTGAGGTCGACCATGCTAAGGTTGACGTGATTGAGAAGTTTCCACCATCCACTTCACTCAAGGTAGTGAGAAGTTTCCTTGGGCACGCCGGGTTTTACAAGCGATTTATAAAAGATTTCTCTAAAATTGCTAACTCCTTATGTAAACTCCTTGAAAAGGATCATCCCTTTGTGTTCTCTGATGATTGCAGGTTGGCATTTGAGGAGCTGAAGAAGAGATTGGTGACTGCACCAATCATTGTTGCACCCAACTGGGAGCAACCATTCGAGCTCGTGTGTGACGCGAGTGATTATGCTATAGGAGCAGTCCTGGGGCAGTGAAAAGACAAACTGGTGCACCCAATTTACTATGCAAGCAGAACGCTAAACGGTGCACAACTCAATTATACCGTGACTGAGAAAGAGATGTTGGATGTGGTGTTTGCATTCGACAAATTCAGGTCTTATTTGGTTGGTTAAAAAATATACTGACCATGCAGCACTTAGGTACTTGAGAGCAAAGAAGGAGTCAAAGCCACGCTTGATCTGTTGGGTTCTTTTGCTATAAGAATTCGATTTGGAGATCCGCGATAGGAAAGGGACAGATAACCAAGTGGCAGACCACCATTCAAGGTTGGAGGGAGCTTAAAAGAAAGTAGAGGTTGAAGATATAACTGAGACATTCCTGGACGAATAATTACTAGTTGTGGCAATGGAGGAGACGTTATGGTATGTTGATATTGCTAATTATTTGGCAAGCGGTATTGTACCTTATGAACTCTCTTCGATTCAAAAGAAAAAGTTCTTTCGCGATTGTCGGTCTTATTATTGGGATGAACCTTTACTTTTCAAAATATGTGTAGATAACATGATCCGGAGGTGTATCCCCAAGAAAGATCAATCTTCTGTTTTGCACGCTTGCCATGCTTTACCATATGGTAGGCACTTTGGAGGAATTCGGACAGCGTCGAAGGTGTTGGAGTCGGGTTTGTATTGGCCGACTTTATTCAAGTATGTCTATGCTTGGGTGAAAAGTTGTGATGAGTGCCAAAGGACATGCAACATATCTCGCTATCACGAGATGTCGATGACTACAATTCAAGAGGTGGAAGTATTTGACATGTGAGGGATTGATTTTATGGGACTATATGTCGGCTCGTATGGTAACAAGTACATATTGGTAGCAGTTGACTACGTCTCCAAATGTGTTGAAGTTGTGGCCCTTCCAACAAATGATGCCAAAGGAGTGACAGGCTTTCTAAAGAAAAATATTTTCACATGTTTTGGCACTCCGAGAACTATAATCAGTGATGGTGGAACCCATTTTTGCAATAGAGCATTCGCAAGGCTGTTAGAAAAGTATGGAGTTCGCCATAAGGTTGCCACACCTTATCACTCACAAATGAGTGGGCAAGTGAAAGTGTCCAGCGGGGAAATCAAAAGTGTCCTGACCAAAACAGTGAATGCGACAAGGACCGATTGGGCAAAGAAGTTGGATTATGCATTATGGGCGTACCGCACAACATTTAAAACTCTAATTGGTATGCCTCCATACAAGTTGGTGTTTGAAAAAGCATGCCATCTTCCAGTGGAGCTTGAGCATAAAGCCTTATGGGCATTGCGGCAGTTGAACCTGGATATGGAAACCGCAGGCACAAGTAGAGTCACAGAGCTACATGAACTCGAGGAATTCCGGTTCCATACATTCGAGAATGCAAGATTGTACAAAGAAATGATGAAGATGATGCATGATAAGCACATTCTAGATCGTAACTTCAAACCCGGAGATCTAGTGTTGTTATACAACTCGAGATTAAGATTGTTTCAGGGTAAGCTGAAATCTATATGGTCAGGACCATTTAGAGTTGTGCAAGTGTTCTCAAGTGGAGCAGTAGAAATTGAGTCCGAAGATGGAACGAATAGGTTTAAAGTGAATGGGCAAAGGTTGAAACATTACCCTTGAAATGGTGGAAGAAAAATGGGAGAAAGTTGTGATGTCTTTGGAGGAGCCTCAATATGTGAGCGAAGTGCAATCATGAAAGCATGCGTCGTGCTGCAACGTTAAATCAGGCGCTTCCTGGGAGGCAACCCATGGTTTTGTTGTAATTCACTGTGCCGCGATGTTAAATCAGGCATTTTTTGTGAGGCAACCCAATATTTTTTCTTTGTTCTTATTTTTCACGGTGAAAGTATTGACAGGTCTATTAATGTGTAGGAATGAAATTGTGTGCAACGGAAGGATTCAGGGTGAGGAAATCCATTTGGAGATAGGTAAAAAAATGGCTAAAACGGAGAAATTTCGAAGGACAAACGTGCGCAGCTGCGCACTGACCGCACACTTTCGAACCCCTACTGTTGCACATGCGCAGCCGCGCACCGGCCGCGCATGGACCGCGTAATTTTTGACACCCACTGCCCTATGTGCGCACCATTTTTAGGTTATTTCCTTAGTTAATTTTTTTTTAATTATTTCCTTACTAATAACTGACCCCTCCCCCCTTACTCCCCCCTAAAATCTGAATAACAACAAAACAAATCCTCCATTCTCCCCAATTTCAAAAGTAAAAACCTACCTCCCTTTCCTCCTCTTCCCTACTCAATCACTCCCTGATCTCTATTCCTCACAAGCTTCTTCAGGTAAGTGCCATGGCTTCTATTTTCCTTTTCTTTCAGTTTTTATTTTTTGTAGTTTTTCAAAAAAAATTCTTTTCTTCTTCTCTTTTAATTATATGGTAGCAGAAGTTATTGTTGTTATTTTCTTTGCTTTGTATTACTAAGTATACTTGTTGGTATGTGAGGATAGTGGAATTTTATCTTGTTGGGTTGGATTAGACATTGTTAAGATTGTGGTGGAATTGAGGTATAATTGTGTGTTTTGGGAATTTGGGGTGAATTTGCACATTAAGTGTTTGTTTAAATGCCACAGTGAGTTCGCGAATGTAATTTGTGACCAATTATGTGGGTGAAGTCTGAGTAACCGCTATTAGTTCACACATCCCGCCTTATACTGATAGTGGTATTTGTTTTGTAGGTACTATGACACCCTCAAAGAAAAGACGAACCGCTGGTGCCTCTTCTAGTGGTCATGCAGGCTCGTCCTGGGCACGGGCCTCGACCAATGCACCTCAGTTTGATAGCACAAGGTTTGTATCAAGCTCAGCCCTAGAACGTTTTAGTCAGAAGGCTCCTAAGAAGCCCATACCGGAATGGGATATTGATAGGGGGTCCATCCAGGTTGATTGCCCATGTATCAGGAGCTGGTTCGGCGCAGGCTGGATATTTTCTCTGAAGAACCTGAGGAGGCCAACTTTATGGTTATACGGGAGTTCTACGTGAACTGCCCTGGACATGATGACCATATATGCACTGTGCGACAAAAGAATGTTGATGCATCGATAGACGACCTTAGGAGGGCATATCGACTGCCAGTATTTGGTGGGGAGGAGTACTATTATGATACGTATAGGCGAGAACCAACCTCCTGGAATCTGTTTTCCAGAACAATTTGTGTGCCAAACAAAGACATAGTGTGGGTCACGCCGGGGCGGAAGCTTCACTCGGGCTCACTCACATTTGAAGGGAAGTGTTGGCTTTATATCATCAATAGTCGCCTGCTACCTTCTTCCAACACTACTGAGGTGAACGTTC